AAGAAAGAAAGAAAGAAAGAAAGAAAGAAAGAAAGAAAGAAAGAAAGAAAGAAAGAAAGAAAGAAAGAAAGGTATGATGATCCTTACCCCTGGTCTGTGCTTTCTGGCTTCGGGCTGTCACTGAAGCATCTCCCCAGCTCCAAGTTGCCCGCTGTCAGCCCGGGACGTCCCCTCCCCACAGCTGCGTGTCCAGAGGTGCCAAGGCGGAGAAGTTTGGCAATGCGCTGAGCCAGCATGTTGTATTGTGTTGTGTTGCGTGGCTGCTGAGCTTCTAGGTTTGCAGAACAGATACCCGCGGCTGAAGAAATATAAGGCCAGGGCCAAGGGGGCTGAGCTGCCACGAGCGCCCGGTGAGGAGGGTGGGAGGGAGTCCCATCAGCCCAGCCCAGCCCAGCCCATGAAGGGGGAGTTGCTGGGGAGGAGGAGGAGGAGGGAAGCCAACCACAGCCTCCTGGGGCAGAATGGCTTTGGCTTATGGGCAGCACCATCTCTCCTCTTCTGTTCTCGCTCTCTGGGGGATTACAAGCAGGGCAACAGGCCTATTTCCTTTTCTTTTTTTTAAATTTTTTATTGTATTTTTATTGTTAAAGAATAACAGGAAAAAAAAACAATACAAAAATCAGTAGTAAAGAAAGAAAAAAATCCCCCCCCCAACGTGCTATACAAATGGAAAGAAAGTTTTAGGAAATTAAAGTCTTCAATTCTTCCAGAAATCTCTTTGATAAGATACTGGCGCTGATTCATCCTATCTTCCAAGTGCAAAGTCCACAAATGTTCCAAGTGTCCAAATGTTCCAAGTGTTCCAAAAAACATTCTCTTTGTATATACCACTTCTAATTTTGATATCACAAGTCAATTTATCGTTTAATGCAAATTTCCATGTTTCATTATACCATTCTTCTAATTTTAAATCAACATTTAATTTCCAATATCTAGCAATTATAATTCTCCCCATTATAACCAAAATCCTCACCAATTCTCTTTCTCCAGTTGTTAATGTTGTTTCATTCAATATTAATAATAATATGGTTTCCGATTTCAATTTGACCCTCTTCTTAATCATTTTAAATATTTCATTTTCTATCCTAGACCAAAAAAGTTCAACCCCATTACATTTACACCACATATGAGCATATGTCCCAAGTTCCACTTTACATCTCCAACACATTTTATCCACTTTATTATCCATTTGAAAAAGTCTTATTGGGGTCAGATACCACTTCCAAATAACTTTATAATTATAATTAAAAAAACAAAAAACCAACAGGCCTATTTCCACCAAAAAATGACAGATAGAAAAAGGGAATGTGCTTTCTTTAACAGAAGGATTTATGACCCTTCCTTCCTTCCTTCCTTCCTCCCTCCCTCCCTCCCTCAGCTGGTCAGAGGAGTGCCCATGAGCATATGCAGAGCACATACAGGAAGCATTCAATTACCAAGGACAATCCATACTAAACATACAGAAGAAAGACTTTGCCTGTGGATGCTCAGAAAATGAAGACAATATTACAGTATGGAAGGAAATCCTGGAGGGCTGTTGTTAGGGGCACTAGCAAGCCAAGCAGCCATTTAAACTTGCCAAATATGGTGCTCTGGCTGACATTTTAGGACTTGCCAGGAGGTAGAGACACACAGTTGTGTAACTCCGTCCCTAAAGAGGCAGGGCTTGAGAGGGGAAGCAAGGAAGGCTTCCTCCTCCTGGGGGAATCTTAGGCCAAAGAGCTTCTGTGTTCCCCAGCAGCCAATGCAGGAGGGGCACCAAACACGGGCTGGGCTGCTTGCCCCCCCCCCCCCCGGGTGGCCTTGCCTGGGGCAGAAATCTGCACAAGGGAGGAGGGGAGGTTTTGAGCAGGGAGGTGCAGCTGTGTCTGTGCAGCAGTTCCGTATTCCCCTTGGCTTCCTGCACGCCTTTCAAAGCCTTTCTCGGAACGGTTGCTGTGGCAGGAGGAGATGTCCGCTCTCACAAGCTCTCGGGAGCTCCTTGAACTCAGGCAGAGCAGCGGTTCTTCCTCAAGGCCGCATCAATGCCGTTTCTCCTGCCCTTGAGTTGCCAGAAAAATATGGGAGTGTAAATATGTGACTCCCACAGCTGAGGTCTCCTGGGCCTCAGCAACAAGGCCGAGGGGTGGTTCAGGAATAGGGGTGGGTAGGTGGTGTGGAATCAAGATGGGAGCAGCAGCCATGTGATCAGGGCTCTGTCCCTTCGCCTCCTCCTCCTCCTCCTCCTGCTCCTTCTTTTGCATGCCTCACAAGTAGTGCTGCCCTTGGGGACCTTGTCAGGCCAGCTTCCTTCATGTTGTGGTTCCCTCCCACACAGCGCACGCACACACACACACACACACACACACACACGATGCCCAGAAGGTCAACCACCCTCTTGCTCCCTCTAGTGGGGTGGGCAGGATTGGTCTAAAGCAGGGCTGTCAAACTTGCAGCCTATGGCCCAGATGCGTCACGCACTGGCCACACCCGGTTTAGCGAAGGGGGGGGGAGTTGCGATACGTCACGTGACGCCGCTCTGAAGACGTGAGTTTGACACCCCTGGTCTAAAGCAATCAACCCAGCAAAAAGGCCAATCCAAGCGGAGTCCAATTACATGTCATACAGATCACTCCATGTTCATCGCAAGCCCCTCCAGGGCCCCTTTTACGCCCTAGGGCTGTTAGCTGCACGTTGCTTGCCAGAGGTCAATGGTCCAACCTCTTGTGTCAGTGGCTGCAGGAAGAAGCAGGAGCGAGCTTTGCCATTTTGCATTTCGGCGCTAAGTAGAAAACATATTCTTCATCATCTTTCTCCTCCTCCCGTCAATAAATCAGTGAAAATGAAATTTATTTATTACTTAGCAATTATTTATTTCCTATTTATTTCTTTATTACCTCTTGGGAGAATGAAAGTCCTGTGTTAATTTTTTTTAAAAGCCCTCTGGCTGACAAGTCTACTCCACACAAGTCAGCTTTTGGCGGGTCTTAGAGCCCAAGACAATGTCCAGGGACCAAACATGGGTGGGAGGTGGAGTGGCCGCAGCAACTGAAATGGCCGGTGGAAGCTGAGGAGATCCACCCTCTGACCAGGTCAGCCAACATATCATTGGTGAGATTTCACAGTTGCACATGAGGCCAAAATGGAAAGTAATTGAACAGTTGCACAAGTGAAGACAACTGAAAACAGAAAACAGAATAACAGAATTGGAAGGGACCTTTGGAGGCCTTCTAGTCCAACCCCCTTCTCAAGCAGGAGACTTTATAGCATTCCGGACAAAGGGCTTGTCAGCCTCAGCTTTCCTGCTTTAGCTGCCATAAGAAACGGGGAGGGATTAGGTATGGAGCAGAGGGGGGGGAAGAGAGCAGGAGGGGGTTTGTCTTTGTAGGAGGGGACTTCGTGGGAATCGAAACTGGATTTCAGAAGGGGATGGCTGACCAACTGTCTCGACATTCCTGATAGATGACGCTGCCAGACGTGTTGCCACCTGACCTTTGGAAGACCTTTAGATTGGCTGAGAAAATATAAACACGAGGGGGGGAAGAAGCTTAGTAGATGCATTTCGCGCGTTTTGGTCACTTCCAGCTTTTCACTGGGGTGTTAATCTTTTCATATTCAGTAAAAGTACCAAATTCTTCAAAATGCTTGAGTTTGGGGTTTTCTTTCCTGGATACTGAAGGAAGCATACCTGACAGGGCTGTTCAAGCTCTTCTTAAAAACCTCCAGCAATGGAGCACCTAACTTCTGAAGGCAAGCTGTTCCATTGATTGTTCCCACTGACAGGAAATTTCTCCCTACTTATAGGTTGTATCTCTCTTTAATGAACGTCCACCCATTACTTCTTGTCCTGCCTTGGGTGTTTTGAAGAATCGGTCGACTTGCTCTTCTCTGAGATAACCACCTATTATACACCTCTGAATTTGGTTTTTCTCGCCTAAGTGGAAAACCTTACTTTTCTCACCACTGAATTGCATTTTGTTGGATTGGACCCGGTGTTCAAGTCTACCAAGGTCTTTCAGAATGTTAAGCCTACCATTAAAAGTGTTAGCTATTCCACCCCAGCTTGGCGTCATCTGCCAATTTGACGAGTTCCCCTTCTATCCCCTCATCTACCCCATTTAGGAAGATGTGGAAGAGGCCTGGGCCTAAGGTAGAGCCCTGAATGCTTCTCTCCGTGTAGATGCAGCTCCATTGAGAACTAAGCACTGCATACACTCAGTCGGCTTATGGCAAATGCTTCTGGAGGTGATGCTGCCTAGCCCACATTGTTCTATCTTGGTCAGCTATGTCTACAGCATTTCACAGGTCCACTAATGTTGTCATTTTATCAAAGAGTGCAATAAGGTTTGTTTGGCATGATCTGTTTTTGACAAGCCTGTGTTGACTTCTAATAATTATAGCTCTGCTTGCTTCTACCGTGTTTCCCCGAAAATAAGACCCCATCTTATATTTTTTTTGAACCCTGAAATAAGCGCTTGGCCTTATTGCCATGCGCTCAAAAGCCCAATTGGGCTTATTATCGGGAGATGTCTTATTTTGGGGGAAACAGGGTAGGTGTTCGCAGATCCGTTGGGAGATTATCTTTTCCAGGATCTTCCCATCAATGTCAGGCTGAACACCAGGCTTCTTGGAGTAGGAGGTATGGGTGCCACAATGTGAAGTCCTGTCTCTTAAAAACGGGCATCAGGACATGACATGAATGAGCCCAGAGATGCAGTGGGGAGTGACATCCTCAAGGAAATATCAGTATTTTCTCACAATAATTGTTTTCTTTCTAGAAAAAAGATTTTTAATCCTTTGTAAGGACTTGCCTCTCCTGTCCCCTCAAGAAAGCAGAACTCTTGAAACAGGCAGCATTTCAAAAGGAACTTTTATTGGGAGATAGTGATAGCAAGAAGAATAGGCAGGATCTGAAGTTCCCACTTGAAATCCTTAGTTTAAACATTGTAGAAACACTTCCCCACTGTCCAGGCCGAGGCGAACCAATCCACAGCTGTGAAGTTGTTGTGGGAACCTCGAGCTGAGAAGGTGGTAAGACATTGTTCTCAGGCATCGCTTGCTCGTTCCCGGAGTTGAGACAAAACAGATGGCCCCAAGCCAATCCCTCCCTGCTCCCTAGCCCAAGAAGATACATCTAAGGAAAGGAAGGGCCAGAGGTTTGAAAAGCTCATAAAAGGTCACCAGGGCCCCATCCACCAGAATGGCAGTGCCCCAATAGGGATCTATCATCTATGAGGACCTGACATCCTTCCCATATGGAAGGTGGGAGGAAGTTGGAGCCACATCTACCTGCAAATCTCTTTGCTGACGTCTAGAGC